AAAAGTATTAGGGTTTATTAGGAATAACCCTCGAGAAAGCGTCTCTCGGGATCAGGGTAACGAGTAGGTTCTAGTGAAGACTTTCTTCCATGCTTTCAATTTTAAGCTTAGAGAGCGAACCCTGATCAGAGCTAAAGAAGAGTTTGCGTATCTTGAAGTTGATGAAATTGGAGGAGAGCTTGAGTCTGAGGGAGGCTGCGATTCTAATTCTAAGGCAATGGTGTTGTCTTGGGGGTTCCAAAAACAGGCGTCCTTTCTCTTGCTCCTCACGGTTGCGAGCACATCGTATTTGTTGCATATTCCCCACACTGTCACCTTTTGTTGGTCGTAATCCACCTTCACCGAGTATATCCCTGTACATACGCATAAATATCATTTTGATATCTTGAGATTGATTAATCATTTCAAACTGACTTCCAATTCAAGTTTCAACCAGTTAGTTGAGTAGAAAAAGTATTTTGCTGCAGCTTAATTCCCCAACTGTTACTGGACCAACCCAGACTGTAAGATAATGTATATGCACACACAGGCCCACAAAAGTTCATTGTCTCCTTGCGGGCTGCATTTTTGTGACGCGCCTGCGATAGGGCCTAGTCAAACTAAACAAACATGAAACACCTAGCCAGAAGAACAAAGAAACGATTGCTGCTACAAAGTGTTACATAGAAGAAAGATACATGAAAATTATTGATACAGAGACTCGGATAAAATTGGTTTTAAAAAAATTAATGAAAAAGGTAAAACTAGTTTACCCTTGAGATGGGAGAGTGTCTTCTTGACTTTCTTCTCACATCCATGAGAATAGAGAGGAACCATCATCTCCACATACTGCGCCTCTACATTTTTGCAAGCCTTAGCCAGAACAATTTGCATATCGGCCATGTTTAATCTAACCCTAATTGAACAACAATATCCAAATATGCATGCAATTAAGATGGCTGTCGTTCTTGCTTGGCGGCTTTAGATGTTCTGTTGTTGTATTGTATGGCTTTATATATATATATATATATTGTATGGTTTAATATTTTGTAGACATTGCAGAAGAAAGTCGACTGAGCTAAGTAATCTGGAATTCCTTTACAAAAGAAGGCTAGGCTAACAGGCAGATATGTCGATGTGTAATTATCCTTTAACATATTCATGGTCCATGGATATGGATGGTGGCTTTTTCAGTTGATTTGAGAAAGGATTAGTATTATATATAATATCCTAATTAAAGATACTTTGATTAGAGAAATCATGGTCTGTAAATTAGAAAGATGCATGTCATGTGGTGGATTATGAGTGGAAGGATGTGTCAGCAGCGCTGGCTTTATATTGTTGGATATACAAAAAAGTGCAGTGTATGTATTCTCCCTTCCCTTTCATATGCATTGGACTTATAGTTTCAGATTATGACTCCCATCCCATGTGGGCTGTTTCTGTTTTCCTTAACAAACAAGTTTGGCTTTCAAACGTTGGAACTTGGAACACTTTACTAGTTACTTAACTTTGTCGTAACTTTAAATATAGAATATTATATACAAACTATGTGATCGTAATTCCATTGTGGTTGTCATCATTATGTATATGCATATATATATAATGTCTGGGGTTTCTAGTTTCTACATATATATAATGCGCATTACGTAGTCAGGGCATCATGTCATCATTTTGCGCTCTCATTGGTGATGCCGCCATGCACATGCATGCATGCATGCATCGTACCAAGACCCCTTTATAATTTTAAATAAACCTGTTATTATTCATGCTAATTAAGGTTAATTAAGAACAAAAACGATCAAATAAATCTGACCATCTCTCAAGTAACTAGAATGCAGCAGACTAGACCATTGATGCGTTGAGAATAATCAAGAAACCAAGATGTTTATGCTTTATTTCGGGTAAAATAAAAGTAGGTGCTTTAATTTTTGTCTTCCTTTTCTCTACATCGATGCTTTTATATCATCTTCAGGCTTCTGATCACTTCTTCTAACACTTTTGTTTTTAAGTACTGTAATCAAACAAAAGGAAGAAAAAAAAAGAAAGTAAAGTTGGCTTTCTCTCTAATCACACACTTCTCCTTCCTTTGGCCTCTGCTTACCCGACCTCACATTGTCTTCCTACTTTTTGAGAAACAATTTGACATTGCCCATGACGGGTGTGTGCCTGTTTTGTATATACGACAAAATAAGACAAATAGACAGCTCACCACCCATGCCACGTTACAGTTTTGGAGAGTAGGTCCCAGAGGCCTTGTTTGTGCTTGGCTTATTCATTCAGACAGATGACTCGGATTTCAAATGCATTTGGACCCCACCATGTGAAACCCACACCGCCTCTGATTTCTCTCAGGGAATCTCGGGCGGCCCCAATCCTGTCCATTTATCCATCTATCTACATGACGTGTGACATGACACTAACCTAAACTTTGGGTTTGATTAATTACCTTCTTTTTCGGGGTAAACAAAGAGGAGTTTCAATTTCTTGCCTATCAGGTTTGACTAAGTTTCATTAATTAGTGGATGCATAAAAATATTAGATCATCATATATGTTCATGATTACTTTTAAACAAAAAAAAAATACAGATTGTGTTTGTTTGATGCGACATTTAGCCTCCAAACAAAAATTCACTAGTGAGATTGACTGAATGCTCATGAACACCCTTTCTTCGTCGTCCCAATCCAATTCTTTTCTTACCCTCATGTTATTGCTTTATGGAACGTGATTCAACAGTATTAGATATATATATATATATATGGACGTGGATCAACTTCGAGCTTTAAAAAAAAATATCATTTTCATATTTTTCCCATAAAGCTAACGAAAAGCTTTTAATTAGATCAAGCGGGTTTACTACATTGGTTGCGGCCCTCTCTCTTTTCCCCTGTTTGGCGCCCAAGATTGAAATCTTATTAAGGTTTCCTTCCACCCAATGTTTTTTAAAAAAAGCTTCTAATTATTAGTAATTAATCTGAAGGGCTAGAATATATTTACCACCAAGGAAACAAGGACATTCGACGTACCAAAAATAATATATAGAATAAAACGTATTGGTGGATCATCTTATAGGTCATTAATCGATTCAATTTGGATGAATATTCCACTACTTGACACCATCCACCCAATTACTTGTCTAAAATTCTGGTCACGAGTGGTAGAACTTGCTATATAGTATGTATAAAAGAAAAGAAAAACATTTTTTTATATATATATAAGTAATATATTACACATAAATAACATAACAACATTTTAATAACTTGTTATTATGAAATATTTGATTGATCATCAAAGTTGAAGTTGTTGGGTCATGAAATGCAACATGCATTTGGATTCTCATCACTGAACATCTGGGGAGGTGGGATTCTCTCAATCACATACAGCGGCTGATAATAGTACTGCATCATTCTTTTCATACTTTCCTCATCCATACCACTATTTACGTAACTGCCGCTCATCTCCTCCACCACCTTGGCGGCCTCCTCCTTGTTTTCCTCACCACCTTTCTCCTCCTCCTTGTTTTTACTTTCTTCTCCGCCATCACCACCACCCTCTTCTTTCTTTGCCTCTTCTGCAGGTTTTTCCTCTGCATTTTCTTCTTTCTTGTCTTCTGATGGTTTTGTTTCTTCTGCTGCCTTGTTCTCTTCTTTCTTCTCGGGTTCAGGCTCCGGTTGTGGGACGATTCGGGCTTGCTTCTTGGTTCGTCTGTACACATAATCTACTAGCTTGTCGCCGTCCATGGTTCCTGTCACCATCACCTTCCCGCTATTGTGATCAGTCACAGCACTTTGCACTCCTGCCATTAATTGATCAAGTTGTTTAAATTAATCTCAACTAAATTGTATATCTAATGAGTTGTTTAATTAGATAGGGCCCAAATCTTGGAAACATAAAAACAGTTTTGTCCCTAAGCCATGCTTATTTACAGCTCTACCGATGAACCTGAGGACATCTAGCTCTACCGGGACACGTCAGATAGGGCCCAAAATTTGGTTGGTTATATGCTTAGTTGTAAAGATCAACGTGGCTACAAGAAAGCAGGGCAGGCAGACTCATAACATAATGCACCCTTTTCTGAAGTTCCTTTGTCACCAACTTTAATTTGCTATTTCTGAGACTGGTCAGTCACAATCAAATTTATCTCATGTTGCTCCTGAATCTGCTAATAAGTTGACAGTAATAATTATGACCTCATTATTAAGGCATAATGTGATAGGACATTGCCAACTACATGAATTGTAAATTAGGTCATTAACGTGACTAATTAGGTTTAACTTAAGTTGAGTACATGAATGGTGAATACCTCTGAGTTTGAGTATCTTTTTCTTAAGTTGCTCTGCGCAGGCCTCACAGTGCATGTTAACTTGGAGCTCCACAGTTACTAGTCCACTAACCTGAAGCAGTAAGAAGAATTCAGAACCCGCAAGTTTTTACTGGCTCAGTGTTTCAACATACTTAATTTCAGTTTGTTTAATGTTTCTGATTAATTAAGGTTCTGCGCATGGACCTGTGAAGCAACAACTTCCGGCATGGGTTCACCCTCAGCAGCTGGTAATGGGGACAAGACTTTTGCTTTTCTCTTGGTTTTCTTCATGATTTTGTTGCACACTGCTTGAGGCTCCACTATTCCCTTTATGGTCACTTCATTTTTAACCATATCTATCACAACCCCCTCCACCCCTGCATTTTCAAAAGAAACTGCGTTAGCAAAAATGCACACCAAATTACAGACATGCAAATGAAAGCGAGAGGGAGAGAAAGGAAAGACCTCTAAGTCGCATGATGGACCTCTCAATCTTCTTCGCACATCCCACACAATGCAAGTCTACAAACAGCACAAAGGGAGATGGTGGTTTTGGCTCTTCCTTCTCCTCTGCCTTCTCTTCTTTCTTCTCCTCTGTTTTCTCAGCTGTTTTCTGCTCTGCTTTCTCCTCTGGCTTAGCCTCTGCCTGAGCTTGTTCCTATCCAAAGAAAACCAAGAAGAGCAACCAATAAGCATTACAGCGAATGCATCGAGTGGAATGGAATGAATGTTTCATAAGTAACAAAAGAAACAGGAAACATGCAATACACACTAATTACCTGCTTAGCCTCTTCACCCATTTGTTATCTCAGTGAATAATTGAGTGTCAAAATATATAATTTATCTGAAATTGCACAGATAAATTTAAGAGCTAATGATAAAGAGAGAGAGAGAAGGGGAGAGGGCTAACAAATGAAGAAGGGGGCTATTTTATATGCAGGGGAGGGGAGTGAGAGTATAATGGATGGATGGACTATTAGAATATAAAGTGACTGTGTTATTCAAGAGCACATGCAGTGCCACTAAATTGTACAAAGAACCTGTTAATATAATAATGTTTCTTTTTGAATTCTTTTTCCAATCTCCAAGACTGAGGAGGTAGAAAAAGAGGGAGATAACAGTGGAGCAGAGTTGGCAGATTTATAGAGAGAAGGGGAGGTGAATTAGATAGATTATGGGAAAAAAAGAGAAAAAAAAACCAATTGATGAAAAAGGATAATACATGCATCACCCACCGACTGGTGGACTTTTCATGACTAGGTGGTGAAGTGTCAGACATCTGTAGCATCTGATGTTTACAACCTGGATAACTTGGTACTGAAGGAACTTATTCTATAAACCCTGTTGTGGTATAAACCATCCATCATCGCCCTATGATCGTCTAGTCTTTTGCCACGTCAGTGATCATCATCATTTTATGTGATGATCATGGCTTAGTTAATTACTTGAGGTGATAAAACAAGTAAATGTACTTTTGCTCTGGGTTTTTGCTGTTCTGCATGTTTTCATACTGTATTTAGACAAATGATGCCCAACTTTCTTGGTGGTCCTAGTTAAATTACCCATTAATTGTAGGTTTTATGCCGTCCCTGGACTCTTGCACGTAGAATTTACCATATACCAATTTCCATGAATCATATATAACTCTCTTGAGTTGGGATGGAAGAAGCGTGGGGATGTGAAATCCACGAGCTAGCTAGAGTAAAGTTGATCTCACATCACATGGGTTGCTTCCTCCACTCCACATCACAAAGCTTAAGTCTCCCTTTTATCTTTCTTTTGCTGTTTTCTCAGGTTATTGAAAAAGCGCTCTCTCTCTCTCTCTCTCTTGGTGATTAATTAATTAGTTCCCACTTTAATTTCCTCACCAAAAGAGTGAATGGTATTTCTTTCACCATGCAGGTGCAGCTTACCTTTATCCATTTGCAGCAAATACATAAAGGAGAGGAGGAGATTAAAATTTGTAAGTTTGGTGCAAATATTTATCCATTTTGGTTCATGTATCTCCTTGTGTCAAATCAAAGCCAACCATGCTTTTGAAACGAAAGCTGAAAACTGATCGTCCTCCTTTGTTTGGTTTGTTTCCCAAGAGCCGAAAAAGTTAAATGCAGAAACTTTTTGAACAAAAAGATTTCATCTTTCGTACCAATTCAGAAAGAGGAGGCCCAACTTACCATGGTGGTTACACGTGGGAGTGAGTCAGCAAAGGGACACCAACAGAAGCCCCAAGTTGAAAAGTCTGGTGAATGATCACAACCACTCTATTTGAAAGACCAACAAAATTTCACCAACCAACAACGTATCTTGTGCGGCCTCATGCTTAATTAAAGTTTAGCCAAAAATAATTTAGGTTGACCACCTTGATTATCTTTATCCATTTTTTTCAATGATAAAGTTGGAAGATTTAGGTTACGTGGGTGAGAATGATTTGCACTTTCAAAAGGTTAAGCTAATTAAGAGATTCTAATCAAGCCAGGGTGCGCTCCATGCATTGCATTGCATTGGTTGGGATGGGCGGTTAGAAGAATCTGGATGATTACCTGGCCTGGTTAGTAAAGTAATCATAATCAACCACCCAATTATTTTTGGATTTGTTTGTTGCTAGTACTAAATACACATGATCTTCTGAATCATTTGATGATCCCACAAACATATAAATATTAGAGCATTATTCGATATTCTTAAGAAAAGACTATTGTTCGGGCACCTGGCTTGCTAGTGTTTGGAATAATGCTTCAAATAAACCGAAAATTCTCGAGTATGATCGTCACATTACCATGTAGCCATATGACAGTAAAATAGAAGAATTTCTCCAATTAAACAGAAAAATAGTCGTATCATTAACTATTAAGAAAGAAAAGAAGAAAAAAAAATATAAGGCATTGAGTTTCACCTAAAGAGGCCGAAAGATAATCCAAGAATGGCTAGGCAATAGTTTATGTTATGAAGCAAGCATAGCATCATCATGGAGTGTTTATCGGGATGTTTTGGGGCTGTACATGGACTTTGCAATAGTTTGTTAAGCCTGACCTATCTTTGTCTATCGGGTCCATCCATATGGGCCCAAATATGAGGAAATGAAACATTCACTTTTAAATTACTCTTCTAGTAAACTTACCACCTGAAAATTCCATTTTATTTTACCTTTTTAAATTTATTTGTTTGTACCAACGAGGTCTAACCTAATGGAAATGGGCATTGATTTGTAGATCAGTGGGTTCAGGTTTGACTCCATGACACCCCGGTAGTATGTGTGAAAAAACTCCTCCCTTATAGTTTAGACTATTGCTTGTATTTAAAAAAGAAAAATTATTTATCCGTCCACAAGTGAATTATTGAACAAAGACGAATTCTTTACTTGTTTGAAACAATACATTCTCTTACACTACTTTATCAGCTTGACACTGCTTAGTACAATATGGCAGCACGCAACCAAACCATCAAGTTTTTCCAGAACGCTCCACACCAGTTGCTCTAAAATTTTACTGTTTAACTGGATGTTGGTGGCTCTCCAAATAAATCTCCGCCAAGGCAACATGTAATGCCACCCCAATTGGAAGGACATCCTCATCAAGAAAGAAGTAAGGGGAGTGCGGAGAGTGAACTGAACCCACTTCCTCATTTCTAATTCCAATGTTAAACATCACTCCAGGTATCACTTCCTGATAGAAGGCAAAGTCTTCACCTGCCATGAGTTTCTCGCACGCCATCACATTCTCAGGACCAAGCATAAGTTCTCCAACCCTCTTCACATGCAGATGCAAGCTTTCATCATTGAAAACAGCAGGTAATGGTGGGAATTCTTCATCTCTCATGTCGACATATGCATTACATCTGTGCACCACAGCCTGGCTCTCAATAACCTGCAAGCAATCCCAATGTTTAAGGCATCACCAACTTTATGAATATGAACCAGCTACTTCACTCACTTCTTTGTTCTCTTGAAACAAGCTAGTTAACAGCCTACCTGCTACTCACTGATGGAATAACATCCAGCATGATTTTCAAGTTTATAATACAGTGATGATGATAATACAGATGTTTACCTCTTTCAATCGCCTCCTGAGTTGCCACAAGCCTTCAGTTGTAAGACTCCTCAATGTGCCCCCAAATTCAACATGGGATGGAATTACATTGGATGCACTCCCACCTCGAACATAAGTAACGGACAGAACCTTCAGCAGAAAACTAGCATTATGTCGAAGTGGAGGTTTTTATGTTTTTGTTCCTTCTATATGCACAATCCTCGCATACCCAAAAAGGCTGAAAATTAATGAACGTGATGAAACAATGTGGGAGAGAAGAGGAGAAGGGACAGGAAGATGAAGGCTTTCAAACCTAGATTTAACAGAGTCGGCATATTAAGTTCTTTCAGAGGTGTCAAGCAACTGTCTCTTCACCCATTGTTCCGGTTGACAAACAATAGAAGTTGGAATGAAATTAAAGCTACCAAAGTTACATGAAGGTTTTTCTTCCACAGAAAATAAAGGGGCTTACTTGGCTATGGAGGGGATCCACTTCCCTTGAGATGAGCTGTTGCAATGCCAAAATTGCAAATGAGGCAGCAACTATTGGGTCGGCAGTAAGATGGGGTTCTGCAGCATGCCCGCCTATCCCGACCATTTTGGCTTCAAAAAAGCAAACAGCAGCTAAGAGTGGCCCTGAAATGGATGCTATAGTTCCAGTCGGTATTTCAAAATCAACGTGCATCCCAAATATCGCTTCAGCTTCACCAAGGGCACCTCCTTTTATCATCTTAGATGCGCCAGCACCTCCCTCCTCGGCAGGTTGAAAAAGAAGTCTCACGGTTCCCTTCAACACCATATGAAAGAGAAGTTTAACGCAAAATTTTCCTGTTTTGAAAGGGTTTTGCTTTGCTTTTTCTTGGAACTTGTGGTCTCAACTCAACATTAAAATTGAAACTTGTGCTCAAATTGTACAACATCAAACTTAACTGACCTCAAGTTTGTGTTTCCGTTGATTAAGCAACTTAGCAGCGCTCTGCTTACACGACGTCGTCTGACTCCGCCTCCTCTACGAAGCTCCTCTTCCGCCAGCTCTTCGAGAAGGAGTCCTCCACGTACACTTACTTGCTCGCCGACGTCTCTCACCCCGACAAACCCGCTCTGGTTAGCTAGCCTTTAAATATTTTGAATAAAAATTAAAACTTTATAATTATAATTAGGATTTTGATTTTGATGAATTTTAATTTGCAGTTGATTGACCCGGTGGACAAGATGGTGGATAGGGATATCTCCCTTGTCAAAAAGTTGGGTTTGAAGCTAATTTATGCCATGAACTTGGAGGAAGGGGAGGGTTGTGGAGGAAGGGGAGGGTTGTGGATGAAATTCCGAATTTATCCTCACTTTTGACAGAAAATTTAACAGATTTGACGGAAGGACTATTGGTGCAACATAGCACCTAGTTTAGTGACCCCTGCAACTAATAATTGAATTGAGGGACCAAAGTGTAACTACGGGTATAGTTGAGGGACCATTGTTGTGAATAACCGTAAGTAATCAAACAAGATTTTATGAGATTTTAGTATAAAGTATACATTGATTTATTGAGGTATCAATATTGGTATATAAACTGTATCTTATACTGAATTGGATTTTCACATTTTGATTTGTTAGGCCATCTCCAACCATGTTGGGGCTAAGCTCAAATTTCCACCCTCCAAAATACAACTATTCATGTATTTTCAGGACTCAAATTTTTTTTTCCTCCAACCTTGTAGACTCATAATTTGAGTCCGCAACTTTATTAAATTGTTTAAGAATGATTAACCCTTAAATTTTTTTTCTCATTAATTTTTCTTAACATTATTTTTGTTTCAACATTTGTGATTTAATTTTCTAAACATTTTAACTTAAAAAAATTAAAATTCCAAAACATAATAGAATTTAACTTTTAACCAAAAAAAAAAACAGCATATCAGATTTTTTGAAAATATAGCAGCTGTCCATCAATAATGAAATGTGAATCTACTTTTTCGCACAAAGTTGCTGCCCAAACAGAAATTGTCAGCAGGCCCAGCCATTTTGGTCAGCACGTGGGCTCCCTTCGAGCCAGGAAAAAATAAAAAAGTGCAGATTTTGGGCCCACAAAATTATCAGTCCAGGCAATAGAGGGACTGGAATTCCACCCAAGATTTGAGATTTCTCAAATTTTCACCCTTCAAAATACATGGGTCGGAGAAATTTTTTGGACTCAAAACTCAAAATTTGAGTTTCCACCCCTTGGGTTGGAGATGGTCTTAAGCGTGCCTGACCACCTTTGTCTACGGGATCAATCCATATCGGCCCAAATGAAGAAATGAAACATTCACATTTAAATTACTCTCTTGTTGACTTTCAACATGAATTTTTTTTATTTTCCTTAACCTTTTTGGTTTATTTATAAAAAAGTGAATCATTGAACAAAACGAATTCTTTACTTGTTTGAAACAAATTTACATTCTCATTCACTACTTTATCAGCTTGACACTGCTTAGTACAATAAAGCAGCATGCAACCAAACCACAAAGTTTCTGCAGAACGCACCACACCAATTGCTCTGAAATTTTACTGTTTAACCAAATGTTGGTGGCTATCCAAATAAATCTCCGCCAAGGCAGCATGTAATGCTGCCCCAATTGGAAGGACATCCTCATCAAGAAAGAAGTAAGGGGAGTGTGGAAAGTGAACTGAACCCACTTCCTCATTTCTAATTCCAATGCTAAACATCACTCCAGGTATCACTTCCTGATAGAAGGCAAAGTCTTCACCTGCCATGAGTTTCTCGCACGCCATCACATTCTCAGGACCAAGCATAAGTTCTCCAACCCTCTTCACATGCAGATGCAAGCTTTCATCATTGAAAACAGCAGGTAATGGTGGGAATTCTTCATCTCTCATGTCGACAAATGCATTACATCTGGGCACCACTGCCTGGGTCTCAATAACCTGCAAGCAATTCCAGTTTTTAAGGCATCACCAACTTTATAAATATGAACCAGCAACTTCACTCACTTCTATCTTCGTTCTCTTGAAACAAGCTAACAACCTACCTACTCAGCTATGACATAACATCGCGCATGATTTTCAAGTAAAGATAATAGGGTGGTGATGACAATGATGTAGTCATTTATCTATTACATGTAATGAGAAACGGTTAGCGAATGGCGTGTACCTCTTTCAACCGCCTCCTGAGTTTCCACAAGCCTTCAGTTGTAAGACTCCTCAATGTGCCCCCAAATTCGACATGTGATGGAATTACATTGGATGCACTCCCACCTCTAACATAAGTAACGGACAGAACCTTCAGCAAAAAACTAGCTATTAGCATTAAGCTGAAGTGCAGGTTTTTATGCCTTTGTTCCTTCTATACACATAATTCTTGCATACCAAAACAGGCTGAAAATTGAACGTGATGAAACAATGTGGGAGAGAAGAGTTAAGCGAACAGAGAGAAGAGGATAAGGGACAGGAAGGATAAACAGAATCTTATATAGAAAAATAAATGCTAAACATAAACAGATGAAGGCTCTGAAACCTACATTTAATAGAGTCAGCATATAAGTTCTTTCAGAGATGTCAAGCATCTGTCTCTTCACCAATTGTTCAAGTTGACAAACAATAGAAATTGGAATGAAATTAAGGTACAAATTTACATGAAAAGATTGTTCTTTTCTTCTTTAGAAAAAAAGGGGGGGGGGGG